GGTGCGTCGCGCGCGACTTGTAACCATTTGTCCATGCCCCACTGTCTCTGTGGGTCGTCGCTTGCAGTAGTGAGCTCCGTCATCCATGTTCGGTCCCCTGTAGTGAAAGCGCTCTATGTCTAGAATCGCTCGGGCCAAATTGGATCGCGCCTGCTGCTCGCGGCATAAGTCGATGAGTCTGAGTAGCACATGTGGTCCGTGAAGGGTCGGTTTGGCTAAGTGCTTGCGACGCCGTAGTCTGATCTCGGTTGCGCGGTTGGTCATATCTGCATGTACCAGTAGCTGCGCGTCAAATGTCGGCTTGTCTGGTTGGTCTTTGGAAGTGGTGCGTTCGTGTTACGCTGAGGTATGCTTGGTTACGGGCTGTACTGAGTGCTGTCGGCATGCTGTCGGGCGATGGGCCCCACGTCTCAGCTTGGTAGAATGCGCGGCAGTTGGCGAAACTGTGAGCGAGCCTGACTTATATGTATGCGCGTTGGTGAATGCTCTTGAAGTGCGTGGCCTTGAGTGGCATGAGTGCTGCTGTTTGCTTGGTTATCTGGTGATGTGCTCTGAACGCGGTGCTGCATGCAGGGTCGAAGTGGGTGCCTCACTTGTCGTAGATGTGCGTGATCGTGATGTGCACGCCTCATGCGGGCCATAGATCCTGGCGCGTGCGCGCATGAGTAGTCGCCATTTTGCTCGCGTGGTGCCTGGCCCTGCAATGCGCAGTGCACAGGCTGATTCGCGCGGCTTGCAGTTCATCCTAAAGCCGTAGCTTGCGCGGAGTGAGGATGGCGCGCCCGTCTATAGCTAGGTCCGCCATGTAATGCTCCAGTCAACCATTGTCTTTGCATTGCGCCGCGTGGGGGCATCGTCGACAAATTCTACGCTTGTTGCGCAGTCGTCTCGCGGGGTGTTAGGCGTTCGGAATTCGGAGAGCAGTGGGTTGAGCTGTCCGGGTAGTGAGACTGAACATGGCATGTCCCGGATGTTGTTGGAGATGTCTTCAAGGAGCCCTGCGAATGATAGGTTATAGATCGCGCCGGCTAAACTGTCGCCGGGCCCGGTGCCCATGGCAGGGCGAGCCGTGAACCTGGAGCTCGTGCAAGCGAAGCGCGCAGCTCTGTAGGACTCGACGAGTTGCGCTGCTAGGCGTTGGTCGCATTTCTGCGTGAAGCACGCCAGATTGCGCGAATATTGTTTGTGCAAGTGTAACAGGGCGGCTGGGATGTCACTGTTGTTGCATCAGCTCGTTTGCTCGCCGTAGTCTGTGGCGCTACATACTGTCTCCCTGACTACCGCGTGGGAGGCAGCCGCGAGGTCGACGTAGCACATGATGGCCGTGGTCTTGCGGCTGCCGTTGCAGCCTGAGTCCAAGGCGGCCGCGCGCGCAGCGAACGGCGCCGATCCCCCCGCTAGCCCTCGACACCGCGTCGGGGGCAACGCTCGCTGCAGTGGCCACGTCAGCCTGCGCCTAAGAGAGGTGCAGCGTAGCTCGGGCATTTCGGAAGCTAACAGAACTGATCTGCATTGAGTTGGTTTGCCAATGGTGTCTTGTCCTATGTGCATTACTGTTCCATGCTTACAAATTGGTGGTTCCTGCTGGTCAAGTGATGCTTTGAGTTGAGGCGGGTGCACGCGTCTGCCCTCAGTAAGCCTTCTGTGCCTCGGCCTAGCCCAGGTCGCGCGCGTCGTCTTACTCACCAGATTATCGTGGGAAGTTAGCGTTGAGCATCGTTGGAGCGTGCTTGGCGTGCTCGGTGTAGCCGTTGTGCTGTTGTCGAATGTGCGAATGTCACCGTCGTCTGTGAGTATGTCTTCCTTGTTGCGCACAGCGTCGGGTAAACTCGTTGCTTGCTGCTCGTTAAAGTCGAGTGCGTTCCCATTTGCGTCCGTAAAGAACGGCACGGCTCTCGCTCTGTTCGCCTCGCCTCCTTTCTGGTGGCTGATCCGCACCGGGGTGCTGCCTAGGCATGATGCCGTGCTGCTCGGTGCGCTCGCATGTCTTGCAGGTGCTGGAATTGGCTAGATAGTTACGCGATGTGGTTGGCTAGGTCCTGCTTGAGTCAGATCTGAGCTCGCGGTGCATGATAGCAAATGCGTTTTCTACGATATTGTCGCAGCACGGCCGTGGCGTGTCTTCGTAAACCGGCAGGCCTCATGCGATGCACGGTTGTCTCGGCGTGAACTCGTTTGTTGGAGAGCGCGCGTTTGCTGGTTCGCGTGCGATGTAGGATGCAACGCGGCGGTGGCCGTTACGCCCCACGTTGGCATGGGTTGCTCGTCGATCATGTCGGCGAAGGCTGCTCGTTCTGCTGGGTCTTGTATTTTGAATGGGCCCCAGGTGGCGAGCCTGGCGGTGCGCTTACTGGCGCTGCGAGCGTAGTGGGGCGCGGCGCACATCGGGAAGCGGTCTTCGCATTGAGCTCACAAGTCGCGTTGTCGACGCAGGGCCCTTGCACGCGCGGCGCCCAGCCATTGGCCATGGCAATGTAGTCGTCGCGGTAATTCGAGGTTTTCTCTTTGTGGCGTTTGGTGCAGGTGCGCGTCGGTTCGCGCTCTCCTGTTGCGTCGATGCACGCCGTGTCGCACGCTGCCACGAGCAAACGCACTTGCGCCGCGCAGTCGTCTTCGTCGCGCCGCGGCGTGGGAGGCGGCGCGCTACCAATGCCTGGCGAGGTCGCGTCAGATACGCGCGCGTTGAAGCCGGCAAGGGCGACGGCGCGCGGCCGCGCGGCTGCGCGTGCACGGAGCACGCCCCGCCAATTGGCTGGGCGCCCGGGGCCGCACTGGACGCGCGGGCCGCGCGCTGCGCAAATAATTTCGCGGATCAACGGCGCGCGCAACTTGGCAATGAAAAATCCGCGGGGCGCGAGCAGCACTCGGACGTGTTGATATTCGGAGCATGGCTCTTTCTTGGGCGCGGTCGCGCAGGGCATCGAGGTTTCGACGAGTAGGCTGCATGCAAGTTTTGATGCGCGTTGTGGGGTAGCGAGTTGGAGAAATATCTTCTGTGCTGAAATCGCTGTGAAAATGTATCTTGAAGTCGTGCCTAAGAGGAGCGTCTTGGAGCCGTGCTCGTGCTCGCAGGTACTGTCGTCTGGCCATGTGTTGGAGAGCCCTTTGTCGCGTGCTAGATCATCGTTGAATGCATCTACGTTGGCTCGTTGGGCGTCGATGGTGGCCGCCCTGATGTGGGGCCCGGTTCTTTTGGTAGATTGGTCGGTGTGTGTTCGGGCCTTCTGTTGGCTGGCTGCTGTAGGTAAGTAGTCGTTGGCGGCTCTCCCTC